GTTTTCCATCACTATAGTTTTCCCTTTTCTAGAAATTTCATGATAAAGAATCATGCAGAGTACCTGGTGTCTTTCATTGCATGATATGTTTGAGATTCATCCACGTTGTAGCATGTATCAAGGTCCCTGGGTGGTATAAACGGTTTGCTCTTGACTACTAACCTAAAGATTGGTGGTCTGAATCCACCCAGCAGCACCATGGAAGAAAGGCCTGGTGATCTGCTTCCATAAAAATTACAGCCAAGAAAACCCTATGGAGCAGTTCTACTCTGTAACATATGGGGTCACCATGAGTTGGAATCAACTTGTGGGCAACGGGTTTGGTAAAGTGTATCAATAGTTTGTTCTTTTTTATTACTGAGTACTATTCCATTGTATGGATAAGCCTCATTTTGTTTAGCCATTTGCTAATTGCTGGACATTTGAGTGTTTCCAATTTGGGGCTTTTATGAATGATGTTTCCCTGAACATTTGTGTACAAGTTTTTGTGGATGTATGTTTCAAATTGTTTTGGGTAGACACCTAGGAGTGGAATCGTGGGGCCATATGGTAAGTGTATGGTCTTCATTGATTTGAAGCACCTCAACACAGATTAATTAGCAGTAGGCTGAAGTAAGCCCCATGGGAATGGGACACACGATGGGGAGCATGAGGGAGAGTTCCAAGAAAAGGGAGAGGAGAAGCAGAAATGCATTAAGGGATAACTTTATCTGCTCATAATCTGTACCTCCACATTCAGGAAGCCTAAACTCTTACCTAACGTGAAACTGCCTCAATCTATTATAATTGTAGAAATTACATTGATCACAACGTGCAATATTAGACATGTGTAGGTAAACAGGTACAACGTTCTGGGCTTCTATAAAGGCAGCTAAGTCTGGGAGCAGCCTACATGGCTTTCCACTTTAGGGAACCATTAAGTTTAATCATGACAAGAATTTATCTTTAAGAAAACATCCCACTTACAAGATTCAATTGGAATTTCTACTCTTGTAGAGCCTACCATTGCATAATTTGTATTCATTCTACCTGGTCTCCACAAAGGCTGTTCTGAATAGTCCCTCCCTTTTGAATATGAATCTGTACCAATATGGTATTTGGGCAAGAAATATGAGGGAAAACAGAGAATTCTGTGACAAGAGGAATTACTATTACCTAAATCCAAATACACCCACAAGTCAAACTGTGTCCTCTTAAAATTGATCTAACCTAGTTAATTTATAACAAAGAACTCTGTCCTGTTTTCTGGCACAAGAGTATAAAGGAAAGAACCTCTGTAATTAGGGACTTACAGACTGAGAATTCTGGTTATTCTTTTTTGAGTTCTCAAATATACAAACAGAATTTGTGCTTGAGTCATAGGTAAAAATTTTATGCACTTCATCTTTCTCACATTGGAAAGACCACCCTAAGCACCCTGGGAGATATAGGCATAGGTACCCAAGAGTTCAGTTGATCTGGCTTATCAGGGACTAAGATATATAGGGAGGAGAGCGAACTCAAAGAAGATGTTTGAAGTATCTCTTACGTCACAGATTTTTCTTTAATGGAGACTTGCAGAAATATTTCTCTGACCTCAGTATCAGAAAAATCCATGCTTCTCTTCAACTGGACTATTTTTATCCGATATCCCCAGTTACCAGTTGCCATGGAGTTGATTCCGACTCATGGCGACACAGTGTGTGCCAGAGTAGAACTGTGCTCCACTGGGTTTTCGATGGCTGATTTCTCAGAAGTAGATCACCAGATCTTTCTTCTGAGGCACCTTTGGGTGGACTGGAACCTCCAACCTTTCAGTTAGTAGCTCAGTGCATTAACCATTTGTACCACCCAGGGACTCCTATCCTACATCAGTGATTCTTAAAGTGTCCCCTGCAGCAGCATCAACATCACCTGGGAACTTGTTAGAAATGCAAACTCTTGGGCCCCATCCCAGACCTACCAAATCAGAAACTCTGGAGGTGTCCCCATTGTTGATGAGTTGGTTGCAACTCATAGCAACCCTATAGGACAGGGTAAAATTGTCCCATAGGGTTTCCAAGGAGCAGCTGGTGGATTCAAACTGCTGATCTTTTGGTTAGCCGCCGAACTCTTAACCACTGAGCCACAGGGTGACGGCCAGCAGTCTGTGTTTCGAGAAATCCTCCCGGTGATTCTGATGCAAGCCAAAACTGAGGATCGATGAACTAGTTAACTGATGGATGAGAACCTCAGAGCCAGATTTGCAGCCCACCTTAGCAACTGTTTTCTAACCCCTCTCCCCACCACCTTAGAGGAGAAGAAGCGTTCTTCAGCACCCTTAGATCCCCAGCCCCCTGGAGAATTCAAATAGATTCAGACAATACTAAATGAATTGGACTGAACTAGGAAACTCAACTTCAGAAAACTGATCATTTATTTGTTCAATGTCCAATACTTCCTTTGAGTTAAAAAGCTACATTAAGATTGTATTACAATTGCTTAATCTATAGCCAAGTGATTGATTTTGAAAATTGTGGGTGGTAATATTGGCCAATTATGCACTTTAAAAAAAATGAAAGAAAAAGGATTTCAGCATTTTGTATAGGCTGAGTGCTCTGTAACTTAGCTACAAAGGATTAATTAGACATAGTTCTGTTTTGTGGATGAATTATAAGGTTGTAGATGACATAGATACAAAAGTAGATGCATTGAAAGTACCTATCATGAATTGCTGGTTAGCCTGGAAATCCATTGTTCTTTGGTTAATAGAACACGCAGAAAACCTAAGCCCCTGATGCCAAATGAGCAAATATTGCTCATTGTCAGGACCTGAATGTTTTTCAGCTCTTGTCACTGATTTTTAACCTTTCAGAGTCCAAGCAGAACTTGTTTTTCGTCTTAGCTCTGCTACTGAGTACTTGTGTGATCTTGGATGAGATACTTTTTCCCACTGGACTTCATGCCTGTCTCTGAGAAATGAGAGGATTTGATTCCATAATCTCTCCAGTCACTTCCATCTCTGATATGCTGGGATTCTGGAATTCTAGAGATCCAAGAACACCACTGCTCTCTCCTGACCTCTCCTGATGAGAAGGGAAAAGGAGGAGGAAGGCATATTGGTGGCTGCAGTCTGAAGAAAGCATGACTGAAGTCTTGGAATTCAGATCATTTCAGAAGTCACATGCAAGGGTTTGTTTCTTACAAAACAGTGCAGTGTGTAGATTAGGCGAGGGGTGACTTGGGAGACACTGTTTACTCTTTGCTGAATGCCAGGCAGAATCCCAGAGAGGTTTTTCCTTAGCTTGGTGAGAACAAGATGTGACCCATACAGAGTCCTTTTCTGTAGGGAAGATCTTCAAGAGTCAACCCAGTGTATGAAATGACTTATTTAAGTGCATGTCCTTAAAAGCTTAGAGATTTGGGTTTGTCCAAACACTCCCCCTTTCCATTCCTGCCAAAGACAGCTATTGATCTGACTAATTCAAGCTATGGAGATCATTTAATAAAGGGTGGAAGCTAGGGTGTGGTTTAGGAGACTCAAATTAACCAGTTCACTGATTCAATTAATTTGATTCCCTTTCTCTATAGAATTTTTTGCACCTATTCCATCAATATAAAGAGAAATCTTGGTTTTTTCCTCCTGTTCATCGACTAGCCAAATATTTTGCTGTTTTTTAAATTTCACTTCACAAACTAATTTTTAATACGTTTTTACTTATAAACACCTTACTACCCAAAGTTCCTCCTAGCTGAAACATTATCCATTGTATTGGATCATTTCGGAGAGTATTTCTCAGCAGGTTATGTTATTAAATGCCTTCAAACTGCTGGCTTCCCATCCCCAAACACTCCCTGACACACACACACACACACACACACACACACATATACGCACACACACGTAAAATAGATTTTCTGTAATAAGGGGCTTTTCTTGCTGGTACTAAGGTAATTGCCTTAATTTTCTACTTCTTTCAGTTGATGTAAAATCATCTCCATGTTCATCATTCCTGGAGTAACCTATGGCATTTTCTCATCGGTAGATAATGATTTTCATTCAAACAAGTTCTTTTGTGTCAGGACCTAGAGTGGTGTTTTGTATTGTTTTGTTTGGGAATAAGTCAGGCTCATTTTAACCATTTATAAGGAGCCCTGGTGGCACAGTGGCTACAAGTGCTCAGCTACTGATTGAGAGGTTGGTGGTTTGAACCCACCGTGGCTCCTCAGGAAAAAGATGTGGCAGTCTGTTTCCATAAGGAAACCCTATAGGGCAGTTCTACTCTGTCCTATAGGGTTGCTATGAGTTGGAATCGACTCAACAGCAATGGGTTTAGTTTGGAAGGAGCAAAACCCTGAACAGCTTTAAAATATATATATATGGCATTAAAACAATCAATCAGTAAAACTGTTTTATTAGAACATTGTAGAGACAAAGCAACTGGTGGTTTGAACGATTTTTCATCCCTTAGAGGCTGCTATGATATTATGTCACACAGCCCCAGTAATATGCACAGTCAGGAATTACCACGTGTCAGAGCTAAGTATTAAGGCCAGGTCACCTGAATTATTACTCCTTGGAAGTGACATCAGCCCTGTCAAAGTGGAAATGATTTGTCGCTTCAGCGCCTCACTGATATTAAATCTAGAGGAGCGGATTCAAGTTTGCGCTTCAGGGAACACATGCACTTATTTATCATGTATAAGAAAATGCAGTAGACGCTCTTGGATTGCAGAGACACAAATTTGTTCTTTTCTAGGAGAAATTTGATAGGATTTGTATAAATTTTGCTGGCTACATATGAAAACAGGGGAATTCTACTAAACAATAACTATTATTTTATAATGTATGGTTACTCATAAGCTTCCCCAACAGGGAAGAATAAGCAACTGCAGAGCATTTCCTAACACCCCCCTCCCTACCCTCATGTCACTTATGTCACGCAAACACCAATAAAACTCCTCCACCTCCCACTCTTCAGTGCCAGTTCGGTAAGCATTTAGCCAAGCATGCTGGGAGATACAGAACATCTGAAGGCAAGGAGTATCCGGATGTCTTGAATTCTCTTTCCACTCTGTTCTGTTCTGATGCCATCTCATTACTAGACATTGGCATTAGACGTAGCAATCAACTACATTTGAACTGAGCGGAAGGAATATTCAAGATCGAAGTATTCAGAAGAAATGCCTCAAGAAAAGCCTCAGGCACCTAATCAGACTTTGATTCCTATCACAAATGACACAGAATCATCAAGCTCTGTCATTTCTAATGATACCACAAATAAAGGCTGGACTGAAGACAATTCTCCAGGAATAGAAGTATTGTGTGCCATCTATATCACTTATGCTGTGATCATTTCCGTGGGCATCCTTGGAAATGCTATTCTTATCAAAGTCTTTTTCAAGACCAAGTCTATGCAAACAGTGCCAAATATTTTCATCACCAGCCTGGCTTTTGGAGATCTTTTACTTCTGCTAACTTGTGTGCCAGTGGATGCAACCCACTACCTTACAGACGGATGGCTGTTCGGAAGAATTGGTTGTAAGGTGCTCTCTTTTATCCGGCTCACTTCTGTTGGTGTGTCAGTGTTCACACTGACAATTCTCAGCGCTGACAGGTGAGTTTCTTTTCCGTTATATTTCTCGGGAGTGAAATTAGGTAAAAAAAAAAGAAAGGATAGCTTGAGCATAGCATTCACTGACTACTATTCTGTTTTTCTCACATTCTGTAACCTGGATGTTGGATCAGAGAATCGGGTGGCATTTTAAATAAAAGTTGGTTATAAGAATGTTAAAATTCCTGTGTTGGCATCTGAGGAGAGGTTGAAATCGTATGGTTTAGGGATAATTTATTCTCTCTGAAGTAATCATTTGCCGGAAAGAATAATGAATGATTTTTTTTTCTCCCCAGTTTACCAAGTAAAGCAAATTGTTTCAAGTGTAAAAGAAAAAAAATTCATGCTTTATACATTAGTGCAGCCTAGTGGTGCAATATAGTCAACATTAAAACATTAGCGTAGGTGTGAAATTGACCATATATGCATTACAGTCTAACGGAGAGAATGGTAAAAAGATACATGCATTGGATCGATTTGAAATTTATCAAACGAGTTAAGGACAGAAAAATGGTGAGGTTTCCAGCTTCCTGGTAACTGGGTGTAATGTCATTACTTAATTGTATTTGTTTTCTCTATAGGCATTCAATGACATTTTCCTTTCCGGAGAAATAAATGAAAGCTGCTTGACCTTTAGAGCTCCTATAGATAGAGAATGGGAGAACCGCTCACAGCCAGGGTGCTCAGGGTCTGTGTTAGGATATGTTCAGTCTAAGTACTGTGTTTTTCTGTGTCCCTATTGTAGAATGATAACTGTGAAAGCATGAAAAAAATTAAGACTCCAAATGTTAAAAGTGTTGCTGAAAAAAGCCTGCAAGAAGTCTATAAGTAATCAATGCTTGGTAGGACCAGAAAGAATAGATTCTTCAGATTTTTGGAATCGGAGAGGAGGATAAGCCTTCCCTGTTTCTTTTTCGGATTTTTGCTTTGACTGGTCTTATGTTCTATTGAAGGGCAGACTCATTGAAAGGCTGCAGGTTTTAAGGTGGATTTGTCGGAATGTGGAGGCATCTTTGCACTGGCATAGGGCTTCCCATTTCACCCTTACGTTGCCTTAAATCTGCCCGCAATTTTGGCTGAGCAACGAATTAGCACTTATGAACAGGGAAGAAATTAACCCTCGCCTCTTTACCGCATAAACCCATGGATTTCTTTTCTAGCAACGTTTAGGGCTGCTCACTCATGAAAAAGAAAAATTCAGTTTAACAGTGCTCACACAAAAAGGAAGTCTTTTAGGACACTTAAGGTGATACATAGGTATGGATTACTCTCAATCATACATTAAATCACTCCTAAAAATATTTCTTTGTCCGGGAGGATCTATACATAAAATTATAAAATTGCAAATCTGGAATATCGCATGTGAGTGAATAAGGGAAAGATGATTAGCATATATAAAAGATATGGAGATGTATTTTGTGCATTTAAAACCATAACCACTTCTACTTGGTGAATGTTGTCTTGGCTATAGGCAAATAGGTAGGAGGTTGAACTAGATGACCACTAAGGTCTAACCCTAAGATTCTGTCATTTTTATATTATTTTGATTCTTCTAGATACAAAGCAGTTGTGAAGCCCCTGGAGCGACAGCCCTCCAATGCCATCCTGAAGACCTGTGCAAAAGCTGGCTGCATCTGGATCGTGTCCATGATCATTGCTCTACCAGAGGCTATATTTTCAAATGTGTATACTTTCCAAGATCGCAACAAAAATGCAACATTTGAATCCTGTGCCTCTTACCCTGTGTCTGAGAGGCTCCTGCAAGAGATACATTCTCTGCTGTGTTTCTTAGTGTTTTACATTATTCCGCTCTCTATTATCTCTGTCTATTATTCTTTGATTGCCAGGACTCTTTACAAAAGCACCCTGAACATCCCTACTGAGGAGCAAAGCCATGCCCGCAGGCAGGTATGTATTAATCAGGACTCATGCAAACATAGCTTGAAGGTAGAGGTAAAATTCCTACTTTTACACCTGTGAGTAATAAGTATAATAGCAGCATAGTATTTTTGTTATGATTATGGGCTCTGGAGTCTGTCAGACCCAGGTTTCAATCCTAGTCTATTACAGACTAGCTGAGCAATCTTGAGCAAGTTAGTTAACCTCTCTGTTCCTCAGTTTCTTCATCTGTAAAATGGAGATGAGGACTAGATGATACATATGAAATACTTAGCATAGTTCCTGGCACAGAGTAAGCCTTCAATAAATGGTAGTACTATTATCATTAGAGAAGGGACAGCTGAAGTTTGGGAGCAGCCAAAAGTATGAACCCCATGGAATAGTGAGGAGCATCACACAAGGTGAGACTCTAAGGTAAAGCATCTTTTATTTTAGAAAATATAACAATTATAGAAACACACAGGATGAGCGAGCTGGCAAGAACCCATAAAATTATTCAATGCAAACCACACAGATGAGCAAACTGAGGTCCGGGGGGAAGAAGTGCAAGTGGCAAGAAAACACAGTGACTCACGGAAGCTTGATTGAGACCATTGCAAGAGCCAGGTGTGCTTTCCCCATATGAACACAGGCAGAATTCAATTAACGTCGACAAAACCCACTCCCAGTGGATTTTAAAAAAGGATTTCTATCTTTCTTGCAGGGGGTGAGGTGAGGTTAGATGATTCCATTTACCTCTCCATCAGCACACAGAGAGCTAAGTGCCTTTTGGGGGAGCTAGTCCATTTAGGTGGTTCAAGGGTGGTGCTTGTGAGGCTGAAGTTGCTCATTTAATGCCCATTTACTGCCCATGATCTTTGCTCTATCTGTGACCGCAGGCTGTAGCTTTATTTAACCTGGTTCATTTCTCTCATTAATAGGTGTAGGTAGGGTTATTTTCACATGTGAAGGACAGCACATTTGGTTTGTATTCCTGTCACTAGATGGCTAGAATCCCTGTAGATTAAAAACAACTTTTGATACCAACTTGGCAACTTTCAGAAACTCCAGGCAAACGTTCTAACCTAATCAGCCTCTGCTGATTCTGTGAAAGCAGTATCGTATAGCAGCTCTTTAACTTTTTTAAATTAAGTGAAATGTTGGAGAATTCCACAACCCTCCTTGAGTTACTTGGAGACATTCTAAACCAAAAACACCAAACCCCTTGCCGTTGAGTCGATTCCGACTCACAGCGACCCTACAGGACAGAGTAGAACTGCCCCAGAGGGCTTCCAAGGAGCAGCTGGTGGATTCGAACTGCTGATCTTTTGGTTAGCAGCCAAGCTCATCCTAGAGTATCTCAAAAGCTGGGGTGGGAGTGTCTGAATTCGAGCTAATGAGACCAAGTTCATGGGTGAACATGCCAATGAACTTGCTGTATTCTGTAGCCACAGGCTGTCTTCTGGCACATTCCAGTCAGTAACCTCACAAACGCATGCTCAAAGGGAGACCCTTTTGTTCATTGTCAGATTTCTAGGTAAATCAGACAATGACTTCTTCCCCTCACTTAATCTCTGCCAGCTAATTTTTTTTTTTTTTTGCCATTTTTCTATCCTCTGTAGATTGAAGCCCGGAAGAGAATTGCCAAAACGGTATTGGTGCTGGTGGCTCTGTTTGCTCTCTGCTGGTTGCCGAATCACCTGTTGTATCTCTACCGCTCGTTCACTTATCAAACCTACGTCGACCCCTCTGCCCTTCATTTTATGGCCAACATCTTTTCCCGGGTCATGGCTTTCAGCAATTCCTGCGTAAACCCCTTTGCTCTTTACTGGCTGAGCAAAACCTTCCAGCAGCATTTTAAAGCCCAGTTATTCTGCTGCAAGGCGGAGCTTCCTGAGCCTCCTCCCCCTGCTGGTACCCCTCTTAGCAACCTGGCTGTGATGGGCAGGGTCCCAGGTGCTGGCAGCTCGCAGGTGTCTGAAATTAGTGTGACCTTGCTCGCTGAGGGTAGTGCGAAAACGGAAGATGACAGAGTCTAGCTTTTCAATTAAAAATGGTATTTTTCCTCCCAGCGTGTGTATCCAACTCGGAGCTGTGTGTAGGTGTATGATGTCAGGATTTTTGTGGTTTGTGAACTGTGTGGAAATCTCAAGAGTGAAGGGTCCTATAAGTAAAATGTAAACCATGATTTTTCTTCAAAGGGCAAATATTAATGCTATGGGACTTTCTACATACGATGAAGTCACACGAAGTGTAGCAGGACACGTTCGTATGTGCCCGTGGCTTGTGAGGGAGGTCAAATAGAAGGGGAGGGAGGTCAAATAGAAGGGGAGGTGGATGAAATAAACAAGATGAAACTTCAAACTTGAATTTGTTTCTGTCACATCTGTGATGCTTCTAATTTCTCCTATACTCATGTGATTTGCATACAATTGTGTTTGTGTTTATGACGTGGTGTTAATCTAGTGATTATACTTTGCATATGAAAGAGGGATCAAAAATAGAGATAAAACATCTCTTATGCTGTTTTCTTAAAAACAAAGTCCTTTAAAAAAAAAAAAAAAGGGCCCTCACAGAATGACTTCCCTTTGACAGTACTATTCCACTATTACCAAATCTGCACAATTGAAATGGAAATGTTTGGGGGTAAGCAAGCATAAAGTACTGAGGCCGAGTGTTTGCCTTACTGGGTCAACACGCATAAACTTACTGTAGTTCTACTTACAATCACCATTGATTAATAATTGGGCAAATTTATTTTTTCACAAATACTGTGAAGAACTTGCCTTATTCACGGGCAGAATAAGTGGCTTCGTCCATGGTGTAATTTGAGGGCCCCACAGAAGGACCCCTGTTGAGAAATCTGGGAGCCTGCCATTGTGTGAAATTCTTCCCTTGAGGGAATTCATTTCTTTCTGGTAAGCAGTGCCCTCTTTCTTAAAAAACGCAGAAATACCACGTGAAACTCCTAACACCTGGGTGTGCGGTTGTTCTCAGATCCTCTTCCTGCTTGACTTTGTTCAACCTGCTGTGTGCCTAAATCCTTTCAGAGTGTGACCCAATCTGCCCTTGGAAATCAGATGGAAGGTTTGGATTTTCTATCTTCTGCTTCTATTGCTAGCACTATGAGCTTATTAGTAACTGTGATTTCAAACAACTCTCATCAATAGATGTATCAGATTTAGATTTGTGTTGGTTTCAGAAAACGCTTTATTAGGGCAAATTAAGCATCCATTTGGTACTATAGTTAAATTTGTATTTTAAAAAAACCTTGATTGTTGGGTGTGCTTTTGGTAGTTTTGAGCTTTAAATGACTTGTGTAGTTGTGAACTTTTCCTAATGATGTGGCTTAAAAAGGGGGATATATATTAACACCAGACTTTAAATTTCTGTAAAACTGGTTTACTTAAAGTGGGGGTGCCTATATTGTATTAGTATTGTTTTAACTGGACATTGTAATAAGTGGGGAAAACAAATAAATATGAAATAAAGTTTTAAATGACTTTCTGTAACTTTATATTCTATAAACAATGCTTCTGGAAGAACATAACTGAGAACTCATTTAATTCCATATTCTAAATCATTTTCCAAGTCACAAAAACCCAAAATATTTTCACTGTTTTCCTCACCCTGAGTGAAAATTTACATCTTTGCTCTCCTAAGTATAACATTTTCGAAATAACTTGACAAAAGCACCTGGTTACAAAAGCCTTTCAGTAGCTGAGAAAAACGGAACACCGAGAACTTTCCTTTCCTTCATTCTCAGTAGTCCTTCGGTGACTTATGGATCCGATATCAAATAATTCCCTAAATGTTTTTCTGGGGTATCAGTCTTCCATCCATAGTTGGGGAGTTAGTATTAAAATTCATGCCTTCGTTTAATTTTTTTTGGAGAGGGTGGTCTTTTTTTTTTTAATCAGATTATCCTTGTACAAATAGGCTCCGATAGCCAACATTTCTTTTCCAACTGCCTATTGGCGTGCCAGAAATGTTTCTTTGGAAGGTTTCATTTCTTTGGAGAGGATCCTAAATGAGGAAGAGGTAGGACCCATGGAAAACAAATTTTGTATCCTTCTCAATTTTGCTCAGAGTATGTCTTGACTCAAGTTCTGTAGTTTTAACCATTTTAAGTCAGGATCCTCCAAGCCTTTTGACAAAAGGAGCTACTTTTATTTCCACTAGGTCTTGATATCACAGGAAGTGGGGACAGGAAAATTCCTGGACAGTGGGAATTTGAATGGGTCTATTTTTCAACATTGTGTTTGGTATAATTCAGTAATTTTCCAGAAAGGGTTCCTAGGCCAGATAGGTGACTTCTTTAGCCAAGTACTCCTTGCTTTTGTAGATTAATGTATTTTTAATCCGCCAAGAAGGCTACAGCCTACTAGGCCAGGAATATGGCGTGCATCATCCCTTACCAAGGCCAGAGAGAGAAGAAAGCAGCAGCTATTCAGAGAGAAGCAGGATGTCTGGGTTCCAACTAGTTCCTCCTCCTAGGTACAGTAGCCCCTCATGAGGCCCATCTACATTCCGGTGCTACAGTTTGAGCAGCTAGTCCTTCTATCTTTATAATAATAAAAACAAAAACCCCAAACCTGTTGCCATCAAATCAATTCTGACTCATAGCGACCCTATAGGACAGAATAGACTGCCCCATAAGATTTCCAAGGAGCAGCTGGTGGATTCGAACTGCCAACTTTTTAGTTAGCAGCCATAGCTCTTAACCACTGCATCACCCTTTTTTACTTGTTAAAAGGAGCCCTGGTGGCTCTGTGGTTAAGCACTCAGCTGCTAACAGAAAGGTCAGTGGTTCGAACCCACCAGCTGCTCCACAGGAGAAAAGACCTGGCGATCTGCTCTCGTAAGAATTATAGCCTTGGAAACCCTATGGGGCAGTTCTACTCTGTCCTATAGGATCACTGTGAGTCATAATTGACTTGACAACACCCAACAGCAACAACTTGTTACCTTGCGTGTTTTTGTGACTTGCAAAAAATCTTGAAAAAGACAGGTTGAGAAGACAGGGATGCTACCAAACCAAACCAACCCTTTGCCATCGAGTCTACTCTTACTCATGGCCAACTCCATGTGTTACAGAGTAGAAGTGCCGCACTGGGTTTTCTTGGCTGTAATCTTTATGGAAGCAGATTGCCAGGCCTTTCTTCTGTGGTGTTGCTGGGTGGGTTTAACCTAACCGCCCACCTTTAGGTTAGCAGTTGAGCGCAAACCGTTTGTGCCACCCGGGGATCTCTGGATGCTACCAGAGGATCTCAATTACTAGGGAGTTACTCTATAAATGAAGTCCACATGCGGTGCAAACAGTTAACACATCGGCTGCTAACTGAAAGGTAGGAGGTTCGAGCCCACCAAGCGGCACCTCAGAAGAAAGGACTGGCGATCTACTCCTGAAAAATCAGCCATTGAAAACCCCATGGAGCACAGTTCTACCCCAAAACACATGGGGTTACCACGAGTTGGAATCAACTCAACAGCAACTGGTTTTATTTTACAAATACCCAAGAAAATAAGAACGAACAGAAACCCAGCTTCACCGAGACAATAATGTTTTTAGAAATCCAGCTGTCAAGAGTCCAGCACAACTAGATGGTGCCTGGCTACCACCACTAACTGCTCTGACAGGGATCACCACAGAGGGTCCCAGACAGAGCTGGAGAAAAATGTACAACAAAATTCTAACTCACAAAAAAAGGACTAGACTTACTCGTCTGACAGAGACTGGAGAAACCCCGAGAGTATGGCCCCTGGACACCCTTTTAACTCAGTACTGAAGTCACTTCTGAGGTTCACCCTTCGGCCAAAGATTAGACAGGCCCATAAAACAAAACGAGACTAAATGGGCACACCAGCCCAGGGGCAAGGATGAGAAGGCAGGAGGGGACAGGATAGCTGGTAATGGGGAACCCAAGGTTGAGAAGGGAGAGTGTGGACATGTCGTGGGGTTGGCAACCAATGTCACAAAACAATATGCGTATTGTTTTAACGAGAAACTAATTTGCTCTGTAAACCTTCATCTAAAGTACAATAAAAAAAGAAAAATAAATAAAATAGGCTCTCTTAATTTAAAAGAAAAAGAAATGCAACTGTCAGGTCTCACGGTTGGGTAGAACGTCATCACAGGTGCAAGTGTGCTTAGCTCCCAACTCCCTTGCTTTGCCATTATGGTAACTCTGACCCTCTGAAGCTGCTTTGGCTTCTCCTCTTACTCCAGGGGAATGTCTCCACAGCAGTCATCTGTTCTGCTTATCACCTTCCCTATGTGGGTCTTGCTGCTTCTCTGCTACTTTGATGGCATTCCTCTCTGTCTCTTCCATAATCATACTCCCTGGGAGAGGCTCTGAAGGGCTCAGTCAAATCCAGTGTAGAATGCATCGCTACCCTGCCAGGTCACCTCACAGGCTTCCAGCCAGCCTTTGGGCCAGGGTGGCTGGGTCACATGGGACCTAGGCATAAGGAACTTTTTTGGCTACCCGCTCAGAAGAGGGCTGTGGGGACAGTAGGAACTCAAGAGCCTCATGTGCTGTAGGACTGTGTAGCATATTATCACCTATCCTGTGAACTGACTCAGGAATGAAATGGGAACCCAATAACATATGGCTGGAAACAGCTGTATACTATTTCTGGATCCAGGAAGAAACATTTAGCAATGTTTAAATGAGTCTAATAAAACCCACGCTGTCTATATTATAAAAATGCATGCAAGTTCAGTTCTCCAAATAGTTCCCCCTGAAGAACAAGAACTTCATTGAAAAAGAAATGCAATTTAAAAAAGACAAACTTCTATTTAAAAACTGTTGCTATGGTGGAAACCAGATTGTAAATCTACGTGGGGAGCCAGGATTCTGTAGAACCCAGACTCAACTGCTATGTTTAGAAGCAAAGGTCACTGGGAACATCAAGTCTGGGTTATATTTATGTTTACACATGTACTTATTATTATTTTTAAATGAATTAGTATTTCTAAATGTGTTTTAATTTTAACATAGCAAACATCAATAAATAGAATTCATATAAACAACAGTTGTTTGGGTCCTTCAATAATTTTTATCAGAGTAAAGGGGTCCTGAGACCAAAAAGTTTGAGAACCAGTGTTCTCCAGCATCCGATATTTCTGTCATACCCCCTTAAGTTTGTCTCCTCTGAGTTGTGCCTGTCTTGCTAACTGCTGGGTCACCAGTGCCTAGTACAATGCCTGACACTCAGTAGGTGCTCAACAGCTATTTGTCCAATTAAAAAATAGAGAATTCTGAAAATGGCTCTTCATTTTCAACCAAAAAAAAAAACCCAAACCCATTGCCATCGAGTTAATTCCGACTCAGCGACGCTATAGGACAGAGCAGAACTGCCCCCAAAGGGTTTCCAAGAAGCGGCTGGTGGATTTGAACTGCCGACCTTTTAGTTAGCAGCCAAGCTCTTAACCACTGCACCACCAGGGCTCCTCATTTTCAACAGTATGTCTAATTTCTGAATAAAGTTCTGTTTAGAGCAAAAGCATGTTATGTCTTTCTAAAAGAAAGCCAAAAGAACGGAGTCAGTCACTTGCCTAGTAAAGCTAGTGTTTACACTTGGAAGTTCCTTTAAGTTTCAGGTTTGGGACTTGAGCATCCCTGAATCCTGAAGTACATGAGGCAGGCAACTGCCGCCCCGCCTCGCTCCCCAAAGTCGATCTCCAACCCAAGGAAGGAAAGTGACAGAGGAGAGGGCTGAGAGACCTGGAAAACGTTGGTCCTTCCACCCATCTCTCATTCATTCATGCATTCACTCACTCACTCGTTCAACACACACTAAGTATCAACTCCTGTGCTAGACGCGTAGGCTACCAAAATAAACAAGAGCTAGCGCCTATACTCAAGACATGATAAATACGCAAAAGACACGGTTCTTGCGCGGGGAGCAGACTTCGAGTATAGGAGCCGCATCTCTTTCCGCGAGGGAAACCTGTCTGGTCCGTCCCACCCACTTCCCCAAGATGGCGCTCGCCGAGGAGGACAATTCCCACGCCTTCGGGCTACCGCCCAGCACGGCCACCGGGACCACCCGCCGACCCCAAGGTCCCCTAAGTGCTGCGGAACCGCGGGAACCCCACGCCCCTCACCCCGGTCCGCCACGGGCCCAGGGAACGCCCAGGCGCGGGAGCAGACGCCCCCAACGCCCCGCCCCGGGCCTCGTGCC